TACTGTACTTTCTTTCTCAAGGGTTTAACTTGGAATTTGAGAGGAGTGAAAACAGACAATGGTCAGCAATGGGGGCTACAGAACACAATGAGACTATCAGAGAGGTACATCAACATCCAACTGTATTGTTCGCATTAGGCAGTTTAAGAGGCAGAAAAAAGGAGATTCATATGATGTCAACGGATCTAGTCAAGTGAGACTTGACTTGTAGACCCGTGATCTCAGGTTGGAACTATATCATTGCACCTTGATAGTAGTGTGTTGGAGACCCTCCTTCCCTTCCTACTTTGGGTAAAAAAGAAAGTGTTCTTGTGATAGTAAAAAAAAAAGGATGGAGGCGTATGCATGTAGCTTAGAGAAACTTACAAACTATGGTTCTCTTAATCCCCAAGTAAAATTTTGCTTCATAGAAGACCAGGTCACTTTTTTATATGGTATTGCCTCAGGTAACTCTGCCTCCATATCAGTATTTCTTAATACCAGACCAAGTCAAGGATAATAAGTCCACACTGAATTGCCTGGAAATAGCGTGTTTTCTCTAACACACAATCACAAAATTTCCGTAGCATATACGTATCCTTGAATAAATCAAAACAGTGTTCTTATATAAACAAGTGTGGTCAAGATTGTGTCATTTGTTCTACAATATCAAAACGCAATGTCTCTTTCTCTTGCCACAGCTAATACTGTCCAAAGGCTCTGGCTTTTGTTTCCTGCGCTCATCATCTACTTTCTACTCATTCTCTCGTATGGAGTTGGAGCTCAAAACAGTAGCAATATCACCAACGTTGGAGCAATCATTAACGGTAATTCTCGTATTGGGAAAGAACAGAAAACTGCCGTGGAAATTGCAGCTGAAACCTTCAACAACCGTTCAAAGACTCATAAGCTCATCCTTCATTTTCGAGACTCCGGCACAGACCCCTTTCTTGCTGCTTCTGCTGGTAAGTGGTAACTAAACCCATGATGCTATTTATAACTCTATGATATATAAAAGTACTCATGAAGTTTTTCTTTTTATGTTCTGAATTTGTTGCTGCAGCTGAAGAGTTGATAAAGGAAAAAAGAGTAGAAGCCATAGTTGGCATGGAGACTTGGCAGGAAGCAGCTCAGGTAGCTGATCTTGTGGGAAACCAAGCTCAAATTCCAGTGATCTCATTTGCAGCACCCTCTATAACCCCGCCACTAATGCAACGCCGTTGGCCATTTTTGATACGAATGGCAGCTGACGGTTCTGCTCAAATGAAATGCATTGCAGATATTGTTTCTGCCTACCATTGGAAAAGGGTGGTTGTGATATACGAAGATGATGGGTATGGCGGTGATGTTGGGATGCTAGCTGTTTTATCTGAGGTTCTTCAAGATGTTGGTTCAAAGATTGAGCACCGTTTGGTTCTTCCACGAGTTTCGTCTCTGTCTAATCCGAATTGGGTTGAGCTGGAAGAGCTGTTGAAACTTCCCACCATGCAGTCTCGGGTATATATTGTGTTCCAGTCATCTTTACCAACAGTGGCTCATCTATTCAGAGTGGCTGAGAAGATGGGACTTGTAGGAAAAGAATCAGCTTGGATAATCACAGAGAGTATCACTAGTTTGCTTGACCCTCATGAAACCTCTGATATATCATCCACCATGAAAGGCACTCTGGGAATCAAGACCTACTATGCGAAAAATACTAATTCTTTTGCCACGTTCCAGAAGCAATTCCAAACAAAGTATCCAGAAGAAGGCAACCCCGAGCCAGGAATTTACGCTCTTCGAGCATACGATGCTATTAGAATCATTGCACAGGCCATAGGAAGAATGACTAGTAATAACTCTACTAGTCTTCAGCTGTTGTTAAATAAATTATTTAGCAATTATACCGGTTTAAGTGGGAAAATGCGGTTCGAAGCAGGTGAGATATTGTACTCTCCGGTACTCAGGATCATAAATATTGTGGATGGGAAGAGATTCAAAGAACTCAACTTTTGGACACCAGATGTTGGTTTCTCATTAGAAGAAACAGGCAAGATCAGAGATGGTGATGCTGGTGGAGTAATTTGGCCCGGTAACCTCACGCATGCCCCCAGAGGCTGGGCAATGCCTACTGCTGAGAAGCCAATGAAAATTGGGGTACCTGGTAGAACATCCTTCAGCAAATTTGTAAAGGTCGATCCATCCCGGGACAATTCAGATAAGAAGAAATATGTCGGTTTCTGCATTGCAATTTTCGATATGGTGATAAAGAGATTGAATTATTCTTTGCCATATGAATTTGAAGCCTTTGATGGCCTCTATGATGATCTGGTAGAACGAGTCCATAACAAGGTAGCAACCTCATTTGTTTTTCTTTTTTCATTAAGATGACTTGACTAATTTCTATTTGATTTGATTCTGATGCAACGTTTGTATATATGCTTGTATCAACGGAAGGTTTATGACGCTGTGGTTGGCGATATAACAGTACTAGCTGACCGACTGGATAAAGTGGAGTTCACTCAGCCATATATGGAGTCTGGTTTGTCCATGATAGTTCCAGCAAAACCTGAGAAGTCAACATGGATGTTCATGAAACCTTTCACATGGCAAATGTGGGTGGTAAGTGGTGCCATTTTAATCTACACAATGTTTGTAGTATGGTTCCTGGAGCGCCCATCCAATCCAGAATTTGGTGGCCCATTGAAGAACCAGATTGGCACAGCAACCTGGTTTACCTTCTCCTCTCTGTTCTTTTCTCACAGTAAGTAGAGTACCAATTTCCATACATCTTAGATAGCCAATGATAATCTAAAAGGCTCGGTTCAAAATTATAAACCTCGGTTTGGTTTCATTTGATTTTGCAGGAGAGAAAATTTACAGCAACTTAACTCGACTGGTTGTTGTGGTGTGGCTCTTTGTTGTATTGATCTTAACCTCAAGCTACACTGCTAATCTGTCTTCCATGCTTACCATCCAACGGCTCAAACCAAATGTGACAGATATCGAAATTCTGAAGAGAACCAACTCGAAAATTGGTTGCGATGGGGACTCGTTTGTCAAGGACTACCTGCAGACTGTTCTTGGGTTCAAAATAGAGAACATCGTCAAAGTAAGCAGTGAATACAACTACACGAAAAAATTCAAAAGCAAAACCATATCTGCTGCCTTTCTTGAACTCCCATATGCCCAAGTGTTCATGAACGAGTACTGTGAGGGATATACGTCCACGGCGCCTACCTACAGATTTGGAGGCTTGAGCTTTGTGAGTAGTGACCAAATATTTCTTGTGATAGAAGGAACCATCTCTGAAAGTGAAACTAATAAAATTGTTTTTATGTGTCTCCTTGCAGATATTCCAAAGAGGCTCTCCAATAGCCAGGGATTTCACGAAGGCAATTCTAGAGCTATTGGAGAATGGAGAGCTGAAGAAACTTCAAAATGACTGGTTGACCCCCAATGAGTGTCCAAACAATGTAACTTCCAACGGACCAGAAAGCTTGAGCCTCAACAGTTTTACAGGCCTCTATGTGATATCTGGTGTTACCTCCTCCTTTTGTTTTCTACTATCTCTTGCTGTCTGGGGGAGGAGGTTTCAGCAGCAAGAAGCAGACCAAGGCAATGCAAGCCCAAGTCCAAGTGAAGAAACTCTTTGGAACAAGACAGTTAGAATAGCAAGATTCTTCTACAGCAGAGAGCTTAATATCCCAACCAGAGCTCCAACTTTTGCTAATTATGCAGAAGAATGGCATTCTCCAAGGTGGGATTACTCCACTGCTTCAAATACTCCTGAGCATCCTAGGACCATAAGTCCAACAGAAATCGAATGCGTTCAACAGGGATAAATACAAAGAATGGCATAGGGATATCTAAAACCAAATCCAATCCGCCTAAACCGACCAATCCGAAAATTTATGGCATTTCGAAGCCAAGTGTTAGATCATACATTTTAGTACATTTGCTACATTTTTCCTAATTGTATACTGCTGATTAATTGCACATAGTTAGACTAATGTTTAGGCATTTGTCTATATGTATTTTTTTATTATTTTTTTATTTTTATACAGTTGACTAATTCATGAACTCTGTATACAATATAGCTCCTTGAGAGATGAATAAGATGCATACACCATACACGTTAGATGATGATAGTGGTGATGATAATGATGGGATTAGTTGACATTGATGAGGGCTTTCAATAATTCACTACTCAAAGACAAGCAAGCCATTCAAGAAAGGTCGAAAAATCTGTCCGCTTACAAAGATGAAATCGTAGCTCCACAAGAAAGGACAGTCAAAGGACACTTGGCAGCAGTTGTTGTTGCCGCAAAAACGAAGGAATCTTTTGTTTGCAAATATAAAAACTGACTTTAGGGCCCGAAAGGAAGAAATGTGGGATTAAATTCTGTCTTGGCCTACAAGTCTAGAAAACCTTTCAACATAGAGCCACAGTAAAGTGTTTGGCTTTAACTAATTTAGTCAAAGTCCAAATTGTGGAATGATATACTGAATATTTATTCCATTCAAATTCCTTCTTAATCATTGATGTTGATGAAACCCTATTAAACACAAATAATATTTTTAATCAGGATTAACACCTTTTGTCTTTATTTATTCAAAACGTAAAGACAAACTGAAACCGTTAAATGTCTGTTACTTCTGCAAGGCGCAAAGAACAAATGACGTCCTTATGACAGAAGAAATAAGAATAAAAATGTAAGACAGATTATCAGACAAGCACCAGTGGTCTAGTGGTAGAATAGTACCCTGCCACGGTACAGACCCGGGTTCGATTCCCGGCTGGTGCAAATTTTTTTGACCTTTACGTAATTGCCCATTTGTTTGCACTGGTTTTATTTATTTATTTATTTAAATTTATATAAAAAATTTTAAAAATATTTTATAATTTTTTAAATCAAATAATTACTTTCTCTGGTTGGTACACAATCAACTGGCTAATATGTATCGCGTCACTTGGATAGCCTAGCCATAGACGGAAGCGAAACTATTTTTGTAAATTTAAGTTAAAAGGGAGGGCTATATTACATTAAAAACTTTTCTTTATTAGATATTACATAAATGCCTTCCAACATAAAGAACTCAATATACATGCTAACACTTTTTTTTTTTTGTCGGAGTACATGCTAACACTCCTTTTTTTTTTTTTTTTTTTGTCGCAACACATGCTAACACTCTAGGCAGTGAAGATGAAGCATCAACAAAGCCGACCATGAAGCCGCATCTGGATTCTCGTGGAATGGAACCCAGCAGCTGGAGAAATCTTCGTGGTGTACACTCTATGTACATAGGAGCAGGACATAAAATTTGGTCACAACTGTTACACAGAACTTGCTTTTTATACCTCTTCACTGCCGCTTTGGCTGACAGACTTCAAAATGTTGAACTTGCAGAGTGGACAGGTGGCATTGATCTGTAGCCATTTATCTATGCAGGTGCAGTGGAAATGGTGATGGCAAGGAAGTTCACGCAGTTCAGTTCCATCATCATAGGCACAAAGGCAGATGCAACATTCCTAAGATTTACCGCAACGGTTCACGTTATTAGCACATCTATTCATAGAATTCTCCTTTGTGTAAGGTTACTTGGCAATGAAAAATTTAAAACCAGTCTAGTGTCCCAGACTTCATACACATGACTTGCACATGGAAAGGCGAAGCCCTGGGAAATAGATGGGCAATTGACAGACTCAATTGTCGATCATGTACATGGTATGAATTCCAGGTGGTAATACGATAACTGATTTCACCATGTCACTTAAAGAAAAGAAAAAATACTATGTTATGAGACTTTTTAGTGTAAAGAATGTATCATGAAACTTACAGCATCCTCTTGGGAGAGAACATGTTCAGTGGGCGTATTAGTATCACATTCAGTCATTATTCCTCCAAAAGATTCTTGGATCTCACCATTAACTTTCTCAAAATCAGATATCGTGCGGAACTTGTACTTTGGCAAATGGTCGATCTCTTCCTTTGTTGCTCCTTCCTGTTCGGAAATAAAATGTGACCAGGACATTAGGCACAGACAAATATTTAACAGCACATAAGTGGAATGAATAGAAACTCACACAGGTTTGTTGATGAAATTCATAAAGAACCTAAAAGTGCACTAGTGATGTAAATAGTCCATACACAGAGACCATGATCAAAATTTGACAAGGAAGAGCAAACTCCGTACAAAAATATCCTCAAATGCATCCAGCACGATATCTTAGCATGGCATGTTTTAGACCTTATTTCAGAAGCCTGGTAACAATTCGACATAATTTTCTATCCAAAAGTTTTTACTGCACAATATAATCTTAATTTTCTGTATACATAGCCTAAAGAAGATCAGTTGCTTTATACAGCAAAATAGTCATGTCGACCAATCAAACTAGAGCTTATGTCCATAATACAAGCAACAAATAACGAATTCATTAGTTTCAAGTGCACCAGAATATCCCTGAATAGTATCAAGCACCTCAATGTAATATCTGGAATCAACTCAAACATTTCCTATGAGCACCTACCTGATCTGTCACAACATACAAGATAGCAATGATGCAGGGGAGACAGAAGCAAACGGCAATGCCAATGAGAGATGCAACGGCAATGCAGATCACAACAAAAACCACATCCAAAGCAAGAAAAGTGATACAAATCCTGCAAAATAACCCACATTTTATAAGCACAAGATAGCTGCATGCACACAAATGGCTTCAAAGAAAACAGATATTAAAGGGTCAGTTAGCTCAAACGAACCAGTACAATTGAGGGGAGTCTCTTATCAAACTTTCACCACCAGCAGTCACCCAGTAGAACCCAAGGATCCACCAGATGAACGAAAACACCGTATTTGCTGACTCCAAATGTTTTGCAACACTGCCACATCAAACAGTCAGAAGATTCTTCCATACACACATACACCATGAGCTAGAATACTACAAAAGGATTGTTGCTCTACTCCTCAAGCTCGGTCACAATCTTTATTTCAGAAATGGAGGCTCAAATCCAACCCAAAAACTCAAAATTATTCAAACTATACATCTTTTGCCCAAAAACAATATTGCAACAGCTAAATTACAACAAACAGTAACTGTAAGACGTAAGAGTTAAGACACCGTTCAAATTTTGATAAAAACAGAAATGAAAAGTGAGTTTTTGTATAAGCCTCTCTCAGAAGCGAAACCTAAAAATTAAAACTTTTAAAACATTATAAGAAAAAGAAAAAGACCTGGTGCCAGCATAGTCCACGCTCTGTTCAATTCCATAGTCCTCACCATCATCACTCCCAGACCCAGAAGAATTTTCCCAACGAGGACTCTCTTCCGCCACCGCAACATCACCCACGCGCCTCCGCCGAGTGCACTCCACGCCTACGCAGGCCATGTGGACGAGGCACTGAAACGCGTATCCAACAATCCAAGTCCTCAAAGGCACCAAGGGGCTCTCTTCACGGCTCAGCCACAGCACTCCAATGGCAATCCCCAGAAGCCCAGCGTTCCACAAGAGGTCCAATACAATAATTGGCCGCGAGTAGGCCCAGTCGCTTTGTCGCTCCTCCAGCTGCTCCGCCGCTGCCTCGCGGACTCGGACCGACGGCTCGCGCAGCATCATACGGCGGCTGGTGGCTCGCCGTAGGAAGCGAGCTGCTCCGCGGAGAGGCCTCGGCGGGCGCCGGATGAGCCGCCGGCTCCGCACGAGGTTGTCGGCGATCGGGTGGCTTAGAAGTGGTGATGCGGCATCGGAGGAAGATGGGGGTTGGAGGTTTGAGCCCAACATCTTTTTCTTTTTGTGTTTTGAATTATTGTTTGAAAAGCTAATTGCTTTGGGGTTTGTACATTTGATTTGGATGAAGTAAAGATGTGTTGATTTGGGTCTAAAAGGAATCGAATTTTGGGTTTGAGAGTGGGGATTGAAAGGGTGAGATTTCAGGGATGGTTTGGTCGGAGAATTGGACGAGAAAATTTGGCCAAGTTTGGATCGTCGTGAAGAAGAAGAAACACTGGAGGCCTACTTATGACGACGGAGTTGACATACCCGCGGGATAAACGAAGCGTGTTTATTTTATTACAAATTTATAAATAAACTCAATCTTAAACATGTATTTATAAAAAAACTTAAACACTAGTTAAACATAGAAGCACACTCAAAATCAACCCCAAAATCAACAATTGTATATTTTTTGGATGTATTTATAAATAAGTTTTGAGTGTGTGTAATGATGAGTTTTGAGTGTGTATATAAAATGTTTTGGGTGTTGAGTTTTTTTATAATTTCAGCTCATATTTTGGGTATTTTAGTGAAACTTCCTTATTTTAATTCTTTTTTGTAAATAGGAAAAGATAAAAGAAATATTTATTTGTTTTCTTAATCAAGGTTCCAATAAACAAACAAAAATGAAAAGAAAGACAACAGAGGTAGAGAAAATCAAAGGTTTAATGATTCATGGACATGAGGCTCTGATGAAGATGATTAAGTCATAATGACAACTAACGTTTCTTTAATCAGTATGAAAAGTTGGTCCACAATTTATTTTCCACATAGGACATAACCCCTTTAAGCTTTACCTAGTTTAGAGTCTGATTTTTTAGTACGGAAATTCCAACAACGTACCCACAAACCATCCAAAACGTGTTATGAATCCATCACTCTTTATTTTTTGACACAAGCAAAATTGGAACACAAGAGCTCGAGTGTTACGAATCCATCACATTTTTTATACATGTAAGTTGTATTGTAAAAATAATTTAGTGAATGCTATGGTAGAAGAACCCCCTTTCTTAGTTTACAAACTTTAAGCGGCATGGCATATGACGTCCTCCTCAAATTTCTTTCATTCTAAGTTTCCAACATTTTCATCCCATCCACGACCACACCACAACTGCCAAAAACACATTCAAAAGCAAAAGGGACGGCCATGGCCAAATGCTTCCAAAAAGTTCCCGCCAAGTAGCTTAAAAAATGTCCATGTCCTTAATTCCTTTACATGAGACCCCAGCTGCCAGGATTGAAACTTCAAAGTTAAGATGCAACCAGGCCCGCCCGTTTGGCCTTTACCACTTTCTGTCCCCTATCGGTTAAGGATCGTTGATAAATAATGTGCAACAGTACGAGGTTTTGCAACAGTTAGGGGTCTTTGATTAAAAATACAGATGAGAACAAAGCAATATCTATCAGTCTGAGGTCTATGAAAGCCATAATAACAAAGTGATACACTAATTATCAGTATTATAAGTATTCCCCTGAAAGCAATCTTCACTGGAACAAACACAACATGGATGCACTTAAAAGTATGGACAGATTCCTGGAATAGTCACGGGCTGCTGCATAATTTTTTTCTTAGGGGATTGACAACTCAGAGGCACTAATCCGTAGCCGTTCTTCTTGGACAGGGCTCCAGAGGAACACAATAAGTACTGTTAATCCACAATGAATCTATAACTAATCAGCTTCCTCAATGAAACAAAACTTGTTCCTAAGAGAAGAATTCAATACATCACGTACTCATATACGTATTCCTGTGGCGCATCTCTCACCATCCTGATTTCCAAGAATTTTCTCACTGCGAAGCTACCTGTAACCCCTTCCCCTTCCACGTCCACCCCATCCCCTGCCTCTGCTCCTTCCCCCACCACCCCCGCTTCTTCCACCATGAGATAAACCTTCAAATGCTCTATTGACAAGCTGATTTTGTAAACCGCCACCTCCACGGCCTTTCTTTGAAGTCATATTCCCAGGTCCATTGGCAGGATTAGCAGGTCGTTTTGTTCTGCACCAATACGTTTAAACAAAATAAAACTGGATCTTTTCAAGTATGCATAACTTCATTAGGATAAAAAAATCTTGTTTCCACATGCTTATTAGATAGTCGCAAGAAAATTTAGATTACCCTGTGGCAGGTGTGCTAGAGGGCACAACAGGTTTTGTCACTTCTTTCCAAGATAGGTTGATGCTCTTGTCTCCAATAAATGAGGGTGTTTTTGAATGCAGAGTCTACATTTGTTAAGAATCATTTAAAGATTAGTTAAAGCTCATGAATTAATTGTCGTGCATTCATAATTCTCAAACAATTCATTCACCTTTGTCATTGCCAATATGTTATTGCAGGTTCGCAACCCAGTTGTAGTATTCTGCTTTTCCGTTTTCTGCACATCATAAAAATATTGTTTTTAAGATCAGAAAAGGTCCACAAGATAATGTGAAATCTAAATAGAATCAACTCACAATGCTATCCTTCGCTTCGTCAGATTTTGCAGCTGCCATAGCTTTGTTCTTTTCAGCCATTCCCTGGGTTAATTTCTTCATGGTGGCCCTAGTTAACTCCTCAACATAACTCAACCTGCGGCAATCAATCAAAACACTTTCAGTTATAAAGGTGCAGCAACTTGATAATCCTCCATGTAAGATATCAGTAACTTGCATAGCCCCCAAACTTTCAACCACGGGATTCTCCTCAATTGGGGGCAACTACCCTGATGCAGGACGCATAGGACCTAAATTTATTAGTTTCCTAATATATTTGTTAGTTTCCTAGATTCTCTAGTTTTCCAAATTCTAGTAGGATTTCTACTTTTCCAGATTTCCAGATTTCTAGTTTTAAGTTTCCTATTTTATTTGGGTTATGATTTCCGTTTAAGCAAGGGATTTTTATCCCATTATGTCTAGGTTTTAGTTTGCTATAAATACCCCCATGTAGTTCTTTAAAATTGAGATTTGGATATTGAGTAAACCTTCTCTTAAAACTATGTGATTTCTGTCCTTTCTTTCGTCCCTTCGATCTATATTTTCGTCTCCTCGATCTCTTATACTCTTCTATGTTCTATTGTTTGGATGCTTAATCTAATACCTACGGGCTGTACTACATCATACCCTCATCATAAATAATACTAAAAAGACTAAAACTTCCTATTGTGAGGATAGGCTGGGCCTTTTCAATTGAATGCAGTTTCCATTTGTTCCTTTTTCGGAATAAAAAAGGGTAAGACTGAACCTGAAAACTTGACCAAATGCAAACAGGCATGCCGCCCCCTACTACCCCCTCACTCCCCAAAACAGAAAAGGACACCCACCCACCAGGGGAAAAAAAAAACCATAATTCACCACCACCTGAGCTAGGGCCCAATTATACTGGATGCAAAATGACAAAGAAATAATATAAACTATAATAAGCAATAAAAGATAGATGAAGAAGAAAAACCACCTCTCAGTAAATTCCTTATACTGCTCCGAAAAGTCCTCCCCAAGCCTATCTGATGGTTGTCCAGTCACTATCTTGTAACCGCATAGACTGTTAGTAGCATTTGGAACCTATTTCATAAAGCAGTCAAGTAAGCACTACACAATGTTGATTCACAGTAGTATTAACAAGGGAGGTTGATTAGAAGCCAAACAAACCTTGTGAGAAAGATGATGAAATGTGTACAACAAGCATTCTACATAAGTGAAGTTAAACTCCTCTCCAGTCTTTCTCCGAGGCATGTTTTTCTGTAAAAGAAAAAAGAAATAGATGATAATTATTTTGCAACAAGACAACATACAAAAAATGATTCAGGAAATGGTATTGTTATCCAGCCCTGGAACCAATTAAAAAATTATATTGACACTGATATCCAAAGAGTGAATGCAAATATATTAATCCTAAAGAGTGTTTTCAGAGGCGCAATTGAGGCACACCTGATAGCAAGGCAGCAGAGGATCACCTTGAGGCACGCTCTGCTAATAATTGGATATTATTCTGAGATTGTTTATTATGGTTGAACTATAACTAATACAAGAGTACCTATTTTAAATTTATTCTGATCGTAATAATTTGAATCCCAAAAGGCTTGTGCCTTGTCTTTCGGGTAATAAAATGCCTTGTGGTATGCATTGGCTTTGAAAACATTGATTCCAATTGTGGAGAGTGGTCTAAAGGTTGGATCTTCACACTACATAGTCCATTTCCTAATAATTCTGAGTATATGGAATGGTACCTTTAACAGCTGAACAACAGAAGGAAGAATCTGACGTGAATCTTGTGGAGTTGTGTAAGGTGAAACTTCTGCAAGGGCTTTGAGCAAATCTAGCCTTCGTTCGTCAGGAAGCTGACAGATAAAATATTGTTTGAATAAATATATTTTACAAGGTTTCCCATTTGAACAAAACACCATAAAGACAGCATCATCATCATCAAAGAAATATTGTCAAATATTCTAGTAAAGATACTATTTAACATTGAGATGTATTTTCACTTCTTTTTATATCACTAAAATGCTAGCAAGTACCATATTCCCATGTAATTTTCCTAATGCTATTTTCCCTACTGTCCCTTGTTTTCATATCAGAATCTAGTCATCATTTCCCAGGGTACTTGTAACTAATAGTATAGACGAGTAAGAAGACAGCATGACTACTTATAGATCTATTAAAAATTCTCACATAATATGGACAACAAAGGAATCAACTATTTGGTCTAAACGCTACTTAAGTTTTTTTTTTTTATTTTTTATTTTTTTTTTGGAGAAGAAACGAATTAAGTTATTGAGTATTTGATTCAAGAAAAAGCAAAATAAAAGATGGCAAAACAAGATTAGAAGACCAGTGCCAGTTCTTCCCCACTTCTTTTGTTTTTTTAACACGAGTAATACAAGCTCTCATTCTTATACCTAGTTGATGGAAGAACATAATCACTAGTAAATATGATATATCATCCCAAATTCTGATAGCAAATTTATTTATTTATTTTGGGTAAGAGATAACACATTTCACACATGAATCAATAAAGTCAGAGAAATAGTTATTCTATCCCAAATTTCAATTATATATACCATTTTTTTAAGGCTGTCCTTGCTCAATTTTATTTGGGGCAATACTGACTCAATTTATGAAAACAAGAATATAGAAATAACACTCTCTAAATTACCAAGAAACTTGGCGCCCATACTGGAAGAGTATACCAGAACATTAAAAGTATAGATGTTACCTTATCTGAAACAGGAAGGATGTGTTTGTTCAAATAGTTGAGGAATTTGCTGCTTGACGCACCCCTCTGTATAAAAAAAATAATAATATGAATAAACAGGGCTGCTACTTGATTGCCAAAAAAAAAATTACACAGCAAAAATGCAAGGAATAAAGCTATAATGTGAGAGGGCATACCACAACAAATGGCAGAGCCATGAACAAGCAAGATATCAACCTGTCAATATGATCTGCATCTGAAACCTGCATTCCAACCATTTCGCAGAAAAGTTATTAAAAGCACCATAGTGATTAAAAATAATATATTTGATACTCACCTACATTCTTAAGCAGTAATATCACAAAGGGAATAATTCCATATTCATTTCCAGCATATTTTGCATAGTATACTTGCTCAAAGCTGCTATTTCATTATCCTTAAAATCAACACAATAAAACAAACACTTACATTGAATTGGGCATCTAAATCAGCTTGTCCTTCAATAATACCAATTAGTTCTTTCATGCGTTCAGGAGGAGCTTTCTCCCCAAATATGCTCAAACTTTTTAAGAAGTCCATAAACATTCTAAATTCTGCCCCAGTTACATCTTCTAAACTCTGCAATTGGACTCAATCATATTAGTGATACATCTTGCCACCTTACAACAGAATAGTAAAATAAAACTGAAGAGATCATAACTTCCAATTTTTTTTTAAAACTAACTGTAGCATGAGGGGAAGAGGACCGCATATCAATCAACAATAGAGGTAACGAAGCAACGCAGACGACAAGCAGAGCATACCACACTCCAAAAGAATACTTATAGAGGTACTTTAAGGACGGGTTTAAGCCTCTAAACATACACATGAAAACAGTTGAAACATCACTTATAACCACACCTTTTTTATCAAGTCAGTAATATGCCTTTCCATTTCCTCCTGAGGCTTCAAAAGTTCAGATTTAATTGGAAACACCTGCAACGGCAATCATTTAAACTCGAGTTATGATAAAGAGAGTCATGATAATAACCGTATTGGGGATTACACATAATGGTTTTACCTTCTCTCGAATAAAGGTTAAAACCTTCTCACGAATAAACTCATCTGTGCTTGGTTCATCAACACTCCCAATGTGCTTGAATAAGGCTGTCAAAGAAACTACACATACAAGAAGATAATCTATATTATGAAAGAGTTAGATTTTACATGGATCCGAGATGTATCAGGTGCTGAAATGAAAGCTAGAAAGAATATAGCTTATACCAAAATCCTTCCATAAAATAATTTGTAATCTTAATCACAGCCTTTCAGTTTATAAGTCCACACATTTACCTTTCACATCTTGCCTCAAAAGGGACATAAGTGCTTTATGCACAGCATCACGCTCCACAAATTCCTCTAAAAGCATCAACAAATCCCAACATCAGACTCATATAACACATTCAATAGACTCCCAAAATCAGAATCGCAAAAACAATGACAAATAATAATAATTTACCAGCGGCAAGGAGTTGCACAAGAATGTCTACAATTTTTGCAATCTGCTCAGGTGTATCCTTGCAGAAAAGGGGAAGGCCCCGAATAGCTTGAACTCGAACCTAAACATTTCATAAATGATGAAAATTAAAACTTCGAGCTGAGTAACAAAACCCCAGACAAGAATAACATAGAGCTACCGCTGTACATTGCTTTGACTATGTCAAATCAAACTAAACAATTTTGTATAGGAATCAATTTTTATTTTAGAAAAAATCCCTCAATTTTCCAGTTACCAAATATAGCATAAGATGCAATAAATGCATAGACCTCCAGTTACTGGATCTAATCCTCCACCAAAAGTAAGAAATGCCTCATATTTTCCGAAATCTTCCTACTCAAACAAGAAGTCCTATAGTTTACAACTCTTCTCTATATAGTAATTCAACCTATTGCTCCGCATCCCCCTATTATTTACTATGAAGAGAAGAATCCAAATGATTGAACTACACATGTATTTATGAATGGGTACGCAAATATGAACTGACCCCGAGCTCTTCTTCTTCAATCAAATCAATGTGGGTATAGATGGCAGACTCCGAAAGGTCGGGGAAGAACTTGAAGAACCTAGGAATAAGCTGCGCAGCCAACTGTTTGGCCTTGATGCTCGTCTTGGCCGCATCAATAATCCCCTGGTAGTCAGCCACATTCTGAAAGGACAAAGAAAAATCCCAAACTATTAAAACCCAAAACCCTAGAAATAAAATTTGGATAAAAAAAACCCCAAATATGAGAGAATGGGCGGGGGACCTGGGACTTGTCCTTGGACTCATTGAGTCGCTCGCCGAACTCGTAGAGCTTCTCGATGTTCTTGGCCTCGTCGGAGGGGTCTGTCATTGGGGCTCTTCTGGCTCTGAAGCTGAGCGAAATTTGGAACAAAAAATTGAATTATTATTATACAAAGGTATTCGAAAATATTTCATAGTTATTATTTTTGGAAATTGAAACTAGGGTTTCGGTGGGCGTACAGGTTTTATTTACTTACAGGCTTTTTGGCTTTAGGAGTGTGAAGGAGAGAGAGAGAGAGAGTTACTGAAGAACAAGAAGAAGCCGAGAGAGGGTTTGATCGGCAAGATAAAAAGTGGAAGCTTCTCTACGGATACGCCTTTACTTTATCATGTCTTCTTTAACGACGACGTGTCGTCGGGCCTCTGGGCTTTGTCTTAAGTCTTTACCAAGAAACCGAGACACGTTTCTCTTCGACTTTAAAACGCACCGTGTTTGGGCTCGTCAATCAAGATCCAGTAAAGATAATTATATTACATCTGTTCCTAATGATCCAATAATTCAACAAATATTCCACAAACGATCGTGTCAATTTATTACAAGATAACTATCAAATTATTTCAACAAGAAAGTCAGTCATGACATGAATTTATCATATAATAGATGCCTTAATGTTAGGAATGCACTAGATTGGATTGGATAAGAGAAAATTAATAACATGTAATATTTGGCATAACATATGCTATTTTGGGTTGGATTTTGGTATTCTGAATTCTATCTTGGACGCCAGGATTCGGGATTGCATTGTTGTTAAGGGATTGAATTAGACTGGACTACACTACATTGAATGCAATAATTTCAATGCATAACAATGACATAGGGTTAAAAATAATGCTATTTGTGTTCGATTTCGGTACTTCGGATCCAGTTCTTGGGCACCTTGGTGCCCGAACACCGGGTCTCGAAATCTCGAAATCTTGGGTTGAAGGTCACGGAGTCAGGGTAGTGTGTTTTATCCCAAGGAATAGTTAAATCCTCAAGAGTGCAAACGATGCGCTTACTGGGGGATTCGCTTTTAGGAGTTGAAATATCATATTTTCTTTTCTTCTCTGAATCTCGAGGAGTTAGACCACATAGATTTTAGTTGAAATTATATTAACGTTGGATCATGATCCTGCTTAATGGAAGATCCAAAATTAGCACAGCGAGTTATATTGCCAAAGAGGTTCCCATTAAGAAATGGAGCCTGCAACTCCGAACGAGAACTTAAATCTAAACGAGGGATGAAAGAATTCATCATCGTCTCAAGCATACTCTTTATAACACTAAAGAATTGGTCAACAAGAAAATAAAAATGGACACTCAGAAACTTCAGGGCACAAGTCAGTATGAAATATGCTACCTCGTATGAGACTCTCTCCTCCTGCATTTCATTTGCTGTGTGCATTAAACACGGTGTAGGATGATGACACTCTCACAAGTACAACGCCCCCTTGCAAAACTAATGAAGTTAATTCTCCTTTATTGACAAAGCTACTTCTATCACTGCTACTAAGATGAATTCCTTTCTGTTGGAGAAATCACAGATTGGGTATTTCCAACGCTTGCAAGACATCCTTGAACTCAAAATCGTGTGTTTGTCTGTTGAACCGTTCAACCAGCTTATACCTTGTATCGTTCACATAAAATGATTGGGTGGTCTCCAGAAGCCATTTTGCCTCTGAGTCACTTAGTTTGCTGGGCATTACGACATCGCCACGGATAAGCACCATGTCTTTGCTTTCTGCAAATTCATTATAGTAAGTTACAGCGAAGTAGGGAGCAGCTTGAGTTCCCCTTGCCTTGTAATCTTCAAGACCAGTGAAAAGCATGTGTGGCGTCTGCACTGCAAGAAAGTTTTGAATGAAAAATTGAGTTCATTTAGACACAATAAGGGGCATAATCCATTTTTTTAATTCTTATAGTCAGAAAAGTTTGTTCAGACTCTTAAGTTTTGTACTCTAATGAGAAAATTCTCTACTGATTTGCAACATTGTAAAATGCCCCTCATCCTGAGGGGTCCCATCAGCTGGCCTTTACCTGCTCTTTGACAAAATCAAAGAATATCATAGATAACTCTGACATATTAATGGCATAAACTAAGAAAAGCAAGTTTACCCCACATTTGAGCTTCTACACAAAATTTACACTGTTCAGTAGTAAATGCAAGATGCGCCAACTACAAAGCGTAGTACATACAGTGATAAAAGAAAGCGACTAGAGACCAAACCTTGAGCAAACATTGTGGTATAACCACCTCCTCTCCACAAGGGAATGACAAAATACCGGCTGCCAGGATAGACAAGTTTAAAGTTAATATAACAAAAAGAGGAAAGAAAACAACTGAAAACAAGCGTCACGTAAACAGATTACCATTCTGCTGCCCTATGCTCCAGCAGGTGATATAGGTTTGCTTTCATGGATGCACCAATATGACCTCTTCCCAGGTGAAACTGATATAACACAACCCATCCCAAAAGTAAATAACACTAGACAATAATAAGTATGGTCTCACGAAGGAAGTCAATTCACTGAGCAACACACTAACGAAACGATAAGCGAGACCATTCCTAAATCCACATGCAAAATAGCTAAAGTTACAACTTTTTATTTTAAATGCACAGTTCAGGCAAAAGATATTCAAAGGTATGAGAGACTGGCAATGAAATTTTCTATTCTACACAAGGTGCTTATTCAATCTGCTGTTCAGAAATATTTGCCTCAGTTTACAAAACACGTTTCAAACTGTGGCCAGTGGAGTTAAAGAGGCTCATACATACACATGCCGTGGACAAATAAAGGAAAGTATTCTTACTTTCTCAGCATGGTAATAGTAAATTTTAGTTCTTGAGGAGATCATGAAAATTGGGGAAGAACAACACTGAGGCCTCAAGCAGCAGACAGCTCAAATTGGCACATAAATGTCATAGGCAAGAAATCATCAAGAAATATGCAAAAGCTCATTACTAAAGCAAACTTCCATTTTCTGATACATATTCGATTCATATCAATATCAAGGGACATGAAGGATACAAGACTGGCTCAACTAGCAGAAAGTGTGAGCTCGAAATCTTCGAAATGTGAAACTTAAAGCTATAACAAAATTAGACCTTATATTGACAAGATGGATACAATACTGTAGCAAATGAAACAAGCTTCTGCAAAAATCTTATAATTCAAAACAAAATCGAACCAATCTACCAAAAACCATTTCAAAACATGACAAAGGGATAAACTTGCGCAGTGAAATGTACATTTAGAAGCGTAGAGAAGTAAGGAACTGAGGCTTACATCGTCCCAAGCTGAAGCGATGTCCTCGGCTGAGCGATCCTTAACCCTCTCAACATCAATAATGGACCCCAACGGCTTAGGCTTCAAGGGCGCGAACCCAGTAGCAAAGCTCGACGTCCTAAAGAAACCAAGCGAACCCCATTTCAGAAAATCTCCCGGAAACGATTGCTGGTGCAGGTTGTGATGATTTTGTTGCGCAGTCAACGTAGTGAAGGAGTGTTTGTTTACAGCGCAAGTAGAAGAAGAAGCATGGGCGATGAAATTCGAAGCTGGTAGTGAAATGATCCTTGAGGCTCTTCGCATTTTGGAAAATATTGGCGTGTTTGAAGAAGTAAGGTGGTAATTGGGATTGTGACTCGCTGCTGCAAAGATAGCTGCTAAGGAGGAATTTTATCAAACACCTTCCGAACGAGAAACCCAAAGATTAGGAAAAGTGAAGAAACATGTTACGATGGACTATTTGTTAAAAAAGCGGAATTTTAACCAAGCCAAAAAAGTTCTTTATTTTATTTTTATTCATAACAATTTAGTAATTCTTTGTTACTGTTTCAAAATAATTTGAAACCAAGGTTGTTGGTGTGAGTGGTTCGGCACTCTCATTCCTTAAGAGAAGGTCAGGGGTTCAATCCCTGCTCTCGTATGGAGTCACCACTTTGGCCAGCACCTTACCCCTTACGGGCCGACCCGGTGTGAGCGGGGATTAGTCTGGGTTGTGGTTAAGGCTTAAAGGTGCCACCCATAGTTGGGGCCCATCTAGGACCACCTCGTGGTTCAAACCAAAAAAAAATAATTTGTGAACAAGATTGTTTACCTCCTTGCACTCTTTGTTAATATAACATTAATTTCATAAAATTGACAGAGCCAAATCTGGCCTGAGGGTATTTATCAAAACCAAATTAAAATAAAAGAATAAAAACAAAATCTGGTATGGAGTCAATTTTCACTAATATACATGCACTATTGCCTTTGTTCTATAGATTCCTGTGGAATGAATTCAATTTGTGCTGGCTCCATCAAGGCCTGTGGATGCTCCGGATTGTTGGAAGTGGAGGTATAATCCCACCTTAATGGAGAACTCCATTCATCTACATTAGCAAAAGGTGGAGCTCCCTTTGGAATGCTAAGACTTTGATTAATAAATCCTGCTATTCTAACAGTTCTGTTCCAAAGACTTTCATCACTTGGACTTGGACTTGCATTGCCTTGGTCTGCTTCTTGCTGCTGACACTTCCTCATCAAGATAACAAGAGATAGAAGCAAACAAAGGGTGGAAGTAACACTGGTTATTACAAAGAGGCCGGAGAAATTCTTGAGGCTCAAGCTTTCTGGTGTGTTTGAAGTTGCATTGTTTGCACACTCCCCCTTGGGTGTGGTCAGCCAATGTGTTTGAAGTTTCTTTAGTTCTCCATTCTCCAATAGCTCTAGAATGGCCTTAGTGAAATCCCTGGCTATTGGAGAGCCTTGCTGGAATGCCTGCATTGAATGGTGAACATGAAAACAATTTGATTAGTTTCACAAATCAAATTCATTCAAATACCAAGATGACATCTTTTATGCATATGTATTCACATTACTACTCACAAAGCTGAATCCTCCAAATCTGTAGTTTGGTGCAGTGGAAGTATACCCCTTGCAGTTCTGGTTGATGAACACTTCTGCATATGGGAGTTCAAGAAAGGCAGCAGATATACGTTTGCTCTTGAAGTCGTCCACATTGTATTGGGGGCCTACTTCGATGATGTTGCTATTTTTGAATCCAAGAACAACCTCCAGGTAGTTCAGGATAAAAGAATCTGCATCAGAACCAATTTTTGCATCGGTTCTCTTCAGCATTTCAATGCCTGTTACATTCGGGTTCAGTCCTTTGATGGTAAGCATTGAGGACAGATTAGCAGTGTAGCTTGAGCTTAGGATCAATACAACAAACAGCCACTCTATAACAACTACTCTAGTCAAGTTGCTGTAGATTTTCTCTCCTGCAAGATGAATAATTCATGGATTTATATTAGT